GGGGGAGAAAAACGAAACAGAAGGAAAAGGAAAAGATGCCCAGCAGAATTGGAGAGGACGGCAGCAGGAGCACAAGGCTAGAAAAGGACAGAGGACCGCCCCAAGGAGCATCACACTCCGGCAGCCGCCCACTAAGCCCCCACACGGCGACAACGAGCTGAGCGGGGAGGGGGGCACAGCCGCAAACACACATGTGTTCGGTGGACATAGGGGCGGCAGGGCGTAGGGCAACACCAATACTTAGGGCCCAATGGTCCAGGCGGGTGCCCAAAGCGGAATTAGGGACTGCCAACTGGCAGTCCCCTGCATGGGGAGCTTGCACAGCCAGGAGACGCACTCCGTCCTTCTCAGAAGCTGCCTCCAGCAATGCTTTGGCGATGGTCTCCACTATAGGGCTATCCCATTTGGTCTGTTTGCCGTAGTTTTGAAAAGTTGGTCGAGGGTGTGCATTAGCAGGAGTAAGAGGAACACAAATGCGAACAAGCCTGAATGGTCCCCAGGACTATATGCGACTGAAAACTCACACCCCAGAAGTGCCTCGAGCCCATCTGGTTTTTCTGGTTTTATAGAAAATCGTCAGTTGTATCCTCTGGTTACAAATTGATATTGTTAATAGAAAGATATTGTTAATAGAAACGTTATCCCTACAGACAAAAATCAGAGGATACAACTGACGATTTACTATAAAACCAGAAAAACGGCCAGCCTACTCATGAGAAACTCTCCAGACACAAAGCAGAACGCTTTAAAAGAGACCAACGTCGTCTATGCCTTCAAATGCCCACTTGGGGGACTGTAAGCTCCAAAAAACCCAGTATATAGGCAAGACAACAACATCTCTTTCTAGGCGTTTAACGATGCATAAGCAACAGGGCTCCATTAAGGAACATATAATCTCTTCCCACAACCAAACCATCGCCAGAGAAATCCTAGCAAACAACACAGAAATCATCGATAGATACAGCGATAGCAGACGGCTTGACGTTTGCGAGGCACTACACATTAAAAAGTCAACACCAGCAATCAACAGCCAATTAATACACAACTATATTCTACCCACTTCAAGACTCCGCTCCAATATAGAAGCATCAAGAAATATGGGCCAATAAAAATAGGCCTTCTGCAGTTACCTACTTTTAATACCCATAGTTTCGTGTTCTGTCTTGTGTTAAAAGTTTATTTTCACCTCATCCAAAACTATTATAACATGTCACCTCACCCAAATGTAGGTATAAAAAACTCGAAGATGTTTAAGCTCTATTCAGTTAAAGTTGTGTGTGTGTGTGTAAACTAAAATCTTTGAAAATGTAATAAGTTTTACGAAACGCGCTTAAGTGTCGCGTCAGACAAGAAATAAAAATGAATTTTGGCGAATTGATTTTTGAATTACCATCAACAGTGAAAAGAAACGTAAGAAAGATAGAGAAAATTCGTGTTAGAATTATTAATCTTACTTTTTCGGTCCATATTTAATAATATATATATATATATATATAATATATATATATATATATATATATATATATATATATATATATATATATATATATATATGTGTGTGTGTGTGTGTGTGTGTGTGTGTGTGTGTGTGTGTGTGTGTGTGTGTGTGTGTCTGTGTGTGTGTGTGAAGTCCTAAGAAGAGGAGTCAATATGGTGCTAGGACAGGAGTGCCGAGGAGGAGATATTGACCAGAACTCTTCGCTCTGGATAATTCCGGAGGGAATTTATGATACATGTTAAGAGGTTCGGGTGTTTTGTGACACATGTTGTTTTTTACGAGTTTGCGCAACCTGTTTTACCCAATATGTTTTACTTTACAGTTGTAATGTGTGGTGAACAAGTTCTGGTTCAGGAAGGTCACAATGTGTGTTGAACATGGTCTGGAGAACAAGTTCAGGTCAGGGAAGGTCACAATGTGTGTTGAACTTGACCTGCTGAACAAGTTCAGGTCAGGGAAGGTCACAATGAGTGGGGAACATGGTCTGGAGAACAAGTTCAGGTCAGGGAAGGTCACAATGTGTGGTGAACATGACCTGGTGAACAGGTTCAGGTTCAGGAAGGTCACAATGTGTGGTGAACATGACCTGGTAAACAGGTTCAGGTCAGGGAAAGTCACAATGTGTGTTGAACATGGTCTGGAGAACAAGTTCAGGTCAGGGAAGGTCACAATGTGTGGTGAACATGACCTGGTGAACAAGTTCAGGTCAGGGAAGGTCACAATGTGTGGTGAACATGACCTGGTGAACAAGTTCAGGTCAGGGAAGGTCACATTGTGTGGTGAACATGACCTGGTGAACAGGTTCAGGAGTTCGTCTTGAATAATGTGTTGCACAATAATTAAACTAATATCAAGAAAGATCTGGTAATTAATTAAACTCGTCTGAAATACTGCACTATTACATCTCATGTTTTAATTAGTTTTAATTAGATAAATAAAGTGTGTGGGTTTACACTCACCTAGTGTTACTCATCTAGATTTGCTTCCGAGGTCGAACTAGGCTCCTAACCCCGCCTTCTGAACGTTCTCTGATTAATGCAATGACTCATTTCTCACGCTGTTATCATATTTACATTTTAAATAATTTAATGCAATTAGCTTTAGCGACTGCTACATCTAACCTATTGCTTTTACTTTCAGCTCAAACACTGAAGAAGTTCTTCCTGATGTATTTGACTCATTTGTGTCTCCAGTTTCATCTATGACTCTTCGTTCTGGTGTTCTTTGCTTTAAAGAACGCTGCTTTGTCTACTTTGCCAATTTCTTTTAGAATCCTATATGTTGTTATCATGTCCCCCCCTCTCTCTCTCCTTTCCTCTATTTTGGTAATGACTAGTTCTGTCAGTTTTTCCTTTTAGCTCAATTCCCTCAGCTCCGGAACGAATCTCGATGCATTTTTAAGGACCTTTTCTAATGTCTCCTGGCCCCTTTTATGTTATGATTACATGCTGGGGATGTATATTGAAAAATGGGTCTCACCTTTGTTGTATATAGGACCCGGAAAGCTCCTTTGTCAAAGTTCCTGAAGGATGCACGGATGACGGCAAGTATTCCATATGCAACTGTTGTTATTCTTCTAATGTGGGTTTCTGGCATCAGATTTGGGGTTATGTCCACTCCCAAGCCTTTCTCCTGTTCTGACTGAAGAGTTTGTCTTACCTTCATCCTATACTGCTGTACTGGTCTTCTTACTCCTGTTCCAATTCTCTTAACTTTGCCTTTGGTTGGGTTAAATTCCAGGAGCCATTTTCAGACTACTTCTAGGGTATCCAAATCTTTTTGCAATGCACCACAATCTAACCTTGACCTGACTCATTAGTTTTGCTTGATCTGGAAACATTGATATGAAGGAGCCAATTTCCAGTCATGTCATTGACATTGACATATATTAGAAATATATGTCACCAGTCTCCGTGGTGTAGTGGTAAGACACTCGCCTGGCGTTCCGCGAGCGCTTTGTCATGGGTTCGTATCCTGGCCGGGGAGGATTTACTGGGCGCAAATCCTTAACTGTAGCCTCTGTTTAACTCAACAGTAAAATGTGTACTTGGTTGTAACAACGATTCTTCGCGGCTGGGATCGTATTCCAGGGACCTGCCCGAAACTCTACGCGTATTAGTGGCTGTACAACTCTTGTATATATCTAAAAAAAAAATAAAAATAAAAGGATGAGCCCCAGAACCGACCCAAGTGGTTACTCCATTTGTAACCTCTCTCCACTCTGTCTCTGCTCTCATTGTAACTCTTTGCTCCCCTTCCTGCGAGATTCTCTTTGGGTCTCTTCCAGATATGCCAGCCTACCTTTCCAGGTTGAGTAGGAGTCTATCATGTGGAACCGTATCAAACGCCATGTGACAGTCAAGGAATATGCAGTATGCCTATTTCTCTCCCTCTTGTTTGATTTCTGTCATCTTGGTGAAGAACTCTTAACAAGTTTGTCAAGCAAGATTTTCCTTTGCTAAACCCAAGGAAAGTCATTGGCCGCGGGGACGCTAAGCTCTGAAATCATCTCAAGATAACCATGCTGGTGCCTTGAGACAAAATTGATCTGTTCTAAATATTAGTTAATGTTAGTGATACGAGTCTGTAATTTAACGGTTAGTTCACTTTTCTTTTAAAATGGTACCACAAGAACCCTTTTCCAGTTTTCAGGACGCTCTTCCGTTTCAAGAGAAGAATTAAATATTATGGCAAGTGGGCTGCACAATGCTTCAGCTGCCTCTTTTAGAATCCACGACAAAATTTTATCTGGTCTCACGGCTTTTGTCACATCCAGTTCCTTTAGTTCCTTCTTTAATTCTTCTGGTGTCACTGATATTTCAGTGAGACTTTCCTGTGGAATTTCCCTTTCAGTTTGGGCTCTAAGCTCTAGTGGAAAATGAAGTTCCAGCTTGAATATTTCCTGGAAGATTTTGTTAAGCTCCTCATATACGTCATTATCATTTTCCGTGTGTCCTCCGTCACTTTTGTCAAGTCTAATAACCTGCTCATTCACAGTCAACTTTCTCGAGATATGACTACAGAACAGTTTTGGCTCAGACCTTGTAAGCAATGTCATTCTCGTACTGCTTCTCTGCCACTCTCCTAATTTCTGTGTACTTATTTTTGGCCTCTGCTTATGTGATTTCCTTCTGTTCAGTGTTCTCTATACTTTTTCCATGCACTTTTTCTTCTTCTTCTCTTTGCCTCCACACACTACTTGTTGAACCACGGGCTAATGCTCGTCTTGCTTCCCTTCACCCTTAGTGATGTTATAAATCTTTCCTCAACTTCTACAACTGTGTTTGTCCATTACGTAACTCATCATGTTCTGTGTTGATTTTTCTTTGAGTTCTCTTCCCCATTCTATCTGCCTCGGGAATTCTCTGACCTTCGGGTATTCTCCTCTCCTGAATGCTAGAGTGAGTGAGTGAGTGAGTGAGTGAGTGAGTGAGTGAGTGAGTGAGTGAGTGAGTGAGTGAGTGAGTGAGTGAGTGAGTGAGTGAGTGTATGTGTGTGTGTGTGTGTGTGTTTGTACTCACAATTTATTACTCAAGTATTTTATGTTTCCTTCCTAGGTCTAAGTCATGCTCTCTGATGCCTAATAGAATACACAGGTGTGCTATACTAGGGCAAGGAATACCTCTCCTCGTAGCTCATACCTCTCAGCTTGGGTACTAGTCTGGTGGCAAACCTTTGAACCTTTTTCAGTTTAGTCTTATCCTTGACTAGATACGGACTCCATGCTGGGGCTGCATACTCAAGGATTGGCCTGACATATGTGGTATACAAAGTTCTGAATGATTCTTTACACAAGTTTCTGAATGCCGTTCGTATGTTGGCCAGCCTGGCATATGCCGCTGATGTTATCCTCTTGATATGTGCTGCAGGAGACAGGTCTGGCGTGATATCAACCCCCAAGTCTTTTTCTTTCTCTGACTCCTGAAGAATTTCCTCACCCAGAGAATACCTCGTATCTGGCCTCCTACTCCCTACACCTATCTTCATTACATTACATTTGGTTGGGTCAAACTCTAACAACCATTTGTTCGACAATTCCTTCAGCTTGTCTAGGTTTTCTTGAAGCCTCAAACAGTCCTCTTCTGTTTTAATCCTTCTCATAATTTTAGCATCGTCCGCAAACATTGAGAGAAATGAATCGATACCCTCCGGGAGATGTACTCACCTAATTGTACTCACCTAATTGTGCTTGCGGGGGTTGAGCTTTGGCTCTTTGGTCCCGCCTCTCAACCGTCAATCAACTGGTGTACAGGTTCCTGAGCCTACTGGGCTCTATCATATCTACATTTGAAACTGTGTATGGAGTCAGCCTCCACCACATCACTTCCTAGTGCATTCCATTTACTAACTACTCTGACAGTGAAAAAGTTCTTTCTGATGTCTCTGTGGCTCATTTGGTTATCTTGAGGTTATCTTGAGATGATTTCGGGGCTTTTTAGTGTCCTCGCGGCCCAGTCCTCGACCAGGCCTCCACCCCCAGGAAGCAGCCCGTGACAGCTGACTAACACCCAGGTACCTATTTTACTGCTAGGTAACAGGGGCATAGGGTGAAAGAAACTCTGCCCATTGTTTCTCGCCGGCGCCTGGGATCGAACCCAGGACCACAGGATCACAAGTCCAGCGCGCTGGTCACTCGGCCGACCGGCTCCCACCACTTCCTAGTTTCCACCTGTGTCCCCTTGTTCGCGTCCCTCCAGTGTTGAATAGTTTATCCTTGTTTACCCGGTCGATTCCCCTGAGGATTTTGTAGGTTGTGATCCTGTCCCCCCTTACTCTTCTGTCTTCCAGTGTCGTAAGTGCAGCCTTTCCTCATAACTCATGCCTCCTAGTTTTGGGACTAGTCTAGTAGCATACCTTTGGACTTTTTCCAGCTTCGTCTTGTGCTTGACAAGGTACGGGTTCCATGCTGGGGCCGCATACTCCAGGATTCGTCTTACATATGTGGTGTACAAGATTCTGAATGATTCCTTACACAGGTTCCTGAACGCTGTTCTGATGTTAGATGTGTGTTTGTGTGTGTGTGTGTGTGTGTGTGTGTGTGTGTGTGTGTGTGTGTGTGTGTGTGGTGTGTGTGTGT